AACATAGGTAATTTACAAAAATAAATACATAAATAAATAAATAAATATTGTGTACAAATCACACCACATATGTGTAACTTTGGTGAAAAAACAAAAAACAAAACTTACTTTGGTGATCAAAATACCTTCACTTGATATGTTACCAAAAAAAGATCCAGGAAGATCATCTGTGCTTCTGTAATGCACTCATTTGTGAAATCAACAAAAAGAAGAAAATTAAAAAAATAACATACAATAATAGTTGAATTTTCTTTCTAAGATAACCCATCAAATATATTTTCCATTTACCATTAATTTGTTAGGCCTGAAGTTGCCGATCTCAGGTGCTACAATTTTTTTATGTTTATATTAGGGCTACACAAAACTGTATATCGCTGTATTATTGCAATTACAATAATAATACTGCTATGACGATCGCGTCAGCCCCAACGTCAGACACGGCCTTTGTCAACCGTTGACGCTGAAACCCCGTGAGAATGGGGCGTTACGTGACACTCAATAAAAACAAGACTCGCCAAAGAGCTGTGTGTGCTATGTTTATATTGCTGGTAATCAGTCCAGCATGAGCTTACAGCTGTATGTGTGTAATTAGGGGGAATCAGAAACTGGTGTGAGAGGTGCATAATTGGAGTTGTAGTTTATAAAAATAGCAAATGTTCAGTTCTCCAGCAATCTGCATAGGCTAGATCGCTGGTCATAGTGACACATAGAGCTGAAAACTCTTAAGACAAGAGAAAAAAATGACTACAGCCAATTAGTCAGAATATCTGCTAAAGGTTTCGCTCTTAAGATGTTTGTACCTTGACACAGTTTTTTTTGTCTTACTTAGAATTAATTAGATCTGAAAAAATATATTTTATTTTTTTTAGATCTGAAAAATATATACAACAACAACCCTATTTATACATACATGCACGCACGCACACACACATATGCAAGCACACACACACATGTCCCTATAGGTTAAGCGGATCTTATGTATAATTCAAGATGTGTTTATTATGTTTAGCACTAAGGATTTTCTTAAATTGCAGTTAAAACCAGCAAAGGGCACTTTTTAATGTGTTTATGTGTTTAGGGCATGTTTTTAACTGTTACAGAAGATGCCAGAAACAGGGTTATTTTAATTAAGGTCTAATAATAATAATAATCATTATTAATAATAATAAATCATTTTATTTATAAATGGTGCCTTTCTACTAGACACCCACGGTTGCCTTACAACAAACATGCCATGCCAATCTTAATGTCAAGATATGTCATCATAACATACTACTTACAAAATGGCAATTTATTTTGCAAGAATTTTTCAGAAACATGGTTTTTTCCCCTCAAGTAAAGGAACAAGTTGTACTCTTTATATCAGCCTCAATTATGTGTTATAACTCTTTAGGACTTTAATATAGCACTGTTTACAAAGTCAACAATTAGTGGAAAAGTCTGTCAGTCGACGCTGGCTCTGCTTGCCGTGTGCTCCTCGTTTGATTGTAAAGTCACTCATTCCACTGGGGTTAGTACAAGAGGGTTAGGTAAAACACTAGTTCTGTATCTGGTTGTAACACGGTGAGTGCAGAAAAAAACAAAACATTTGGTCTCCCGGTGGGCCAGAAAAAATATGACTAGAGTTTATATTCCCCTTTCATTTATTTCTTTGGTCTTAAGTTGCACTGACACAAATTTATTAGTGTTCTGTAATGCCTCCATCATTTGACCCATGAAGTAGTTACAATAAACTATTTCTCTGGCGTATAAGGAGAGATCTCCAAACAAGATCTTTCATCCCAGATTTATTAAATGAAACAAGGCTGTTTTGGACAGAAGCCTCATTTATTAGGGATTTCATAACACGAGGCCATGATCAGATGTCTGTTTGGGATATTATGATAAGGCTCCTAATCCAACTGTTGCAACACATACTGCAGATCATATACAATTAACATTAAGTTGAGTAAGGCACTAAGGCAGACAGATTTCACTTAACTGTTATTCTTCCAGGTCTTGTCAATACAGTGTAATAGAATCATTTTAACTGTCAATAAATCTGATTGGGTGAGGAAAAAAAAATCTTCAAATAAACATTACTAATTTCGACCTGCAACAACAAAACTAGTCCAGTAAACAGAATTTCATTGTTTTATTTGTCTTGTTTATTATTAACTAATAAACAAATGTAATAACTGACCAATCACAATTATTAACACAACTGGCTGTTTTTGCTTCTTATTTAGAACATTATTTATGGTGGCCAAGAGAGCTTAAACATGCAAAAAGTCAGACCCCCTATTTTTTCGCCATTCCACAATCCCTGAATTCAATGCAAATGCAACAAAAAGTCACAAATTTTTGTGATGCTGCAAAATATTTAATTAAACGCAAAATAATCTTAAAAAATTTAAGTAATCTCATGAAAACATCCAATTCCAAACCATTTAATCAAAGTATATTAATTTCAGTTAGCAATTTATTGTTTTACGTGATTTATAGACATTGTATATATGCAGCGTACGTAATCAATTTGAGTGTCTCTCGAAAAATTACATCTCACCTGCGCCCTCACAATCATTACATTACATGAGAGTGGGGGAATTGTTTTTGTAGCCTGTGCAGTAAGCAGATGCAGATGAAGCACGTAATTTACATTTGAAGTCAATGCATAGATTGGATTAGGCATCCTGTGACGTGAATAGGGTGTTTTGTGCACTTGACGCGTGTCAGACTTCAAAAGAAAGTTTGAGCACACATCTGTCAAACAGAGCAGTGGAACAGACAGAACAGCAAGCAGCTTACAATGATGGACGTGACAGAATTGAAGGACATTATTTGTGCTTTACATGTCTGACTGGTATTATGGTGTGGGTGAAATAAAATGCTATAAATATTTTTGTGTAACTCTTTTCCTGCAGTTTACAAGAGAAAACGCTACTCTGCCATTGATTAGTTTTACGGGAATTTGTGTTTTAGGTGTATTAAGGTAACGAATCTCCTGAGTGTGGTACCTGATGTCAGATGCTCTGGGGAGTGAAACCTGAGAGAAAGTTGTGGATATAAATAAAAGTTGTACAACCTTCCTTTAGCTTAATACCATTTTAAATGTGTTTTGGACCTTGTCTTGACAAGAGACCAAAATAAAGAAGCTTTATTTTTATGATTTGTGTCATTGTTATTGTGTCAGATTGCACATCTAACATAGTAGCCCATCTAATATGGTAAATAATATATCAATACTATTATTCTAGGTCATTTAAGGCTGGTAGCTTGAGTGCTAATGATTGTCACCTGTGCGCGCCACCTGTCTCAAGTCTCACAAATGAGCTCTGGATCTTAAAAGGAGGAAGGAGAGCAGTGGAAGACGAGAGAGGACATGGTCTTGTTTTGCTTTCAGTTTGGTGGAACTGCCACCTGTTTGATTTGGTTTTTCATTATTAAACTTATTTAAACGTTTGTTAGTTCTCTGCCTAGTTCTCTTTCTAAAATGCAAAATACACGTGTCAGTGTATACATCTGCAATGTTTTGAGCTTATCTATTTTCAAACAATATATGTGGACCAAAGGACTGGAACATTCATACGTATTTTGTTAATACTGTCTGTACTAATAAAAATGATAAAGCATATTTGACATATTGTTGCATTTTAAAAACTGAATGAATTGTTGAAGTGGTAAACGTTTTCAAATTTACAGTCTTTTTTTTTTTTTTTAACCTTTTTACCATATTTACACTCAAAAGAGTTGAATAAAATAACAATATATTGATCTAAAAAAATACACAGAACACCAACATAAAATTTATTTTACACTGGGCGGTGTTAAATATAGTTACATTTTTAACTTTGCCCAGAGTTCAAACAAACCCTTATGTCGGTGTCAATGTGCCAACACTTTTGAAAGTGTTGATCTAATTCTGTTGGGAGTGGACCCCATGAGACACTTTCAAAGTATCGGAATTAACTACCTTAGAGATGTTTTGGGTCCCCATATTTTGCTGTGTATAGTAGGTAGTTGAAAACATTCGGTTGGATTGCTTTAATAGTATAGACAGAGGTCAGAGATTTGTTCCATGTGAGCTGTAATGTTAAACACAGCATCAAAAAACCCCAGAGCCTTACAAAATGTCAGTGGGAAACTTGTGTAAACTCATTCTTCTCTCATTTTTTGAAGTCTCTATGACTGCACCACTTGTCTTACAATCTGTATAAATGAAATGAGAACATATGTTTTATAACTTCTTGGGTCAAAAAAAAAGAAAAAAAAAAAGAGTAGGAGTTTCCGATATATTTCCTTTTCCTCCCTTCCGGAAAACACTATTGCTGGATGTGTTCATATCTGCAGCGAGAAGTCTTTCATGGCACAAACTGCACATGTGTTGCTCAGTTAGCCAACAGAACACATGTAAAGGTGTTTACATGCCAATATCAGGGCGATGGGCAAAAGCTGTGCCTTAAGCTTGAGTTGTTTATGACCTAACGGCAATAAAACAAAATGGTTTAACACTTTAACATGACCACACATGTTGCTGGCTTATTTGGTATAGTCAGTTTAAGAATGTGCAAGCAAACACAATCTGTGAAAATTGCTGTTAGACAAATTGATTTGCTAGTGTATTTATTTAATGTACTCTAGGAAGAGTTAGAGAGCTGGGCGTACAGGGCATGGTATATATCTATTTGCTATCATTTTTACATTTTTATATTTAAAAAAAAATCAATAAGTGGGTAAAATAATTTTGTAAAATCCTTATATAGACTTTTTATAATAAAATGTCAAGGTCCAAATGTTGAGGGGGCCACCGAAGGGCAAACCAGTGGCTACTAGTGCGCATGCTCTATTCTTTCTGTGGAAAGAAGACTGAGGTGGCAATATGGCAAGGTGCGAGAGAGAAGGGGGGTTACCCTACAGAGTTTGACACAGTGTGGATTGTGTTCCCATCCTTAAGGAATAGCAGAAATATTCGGGGGGAATCCCATTACGTAGCAAATGGAGTGCTGTAATAATGTACTCACATTCATTTCCCCACTGCGGTTTGCCTCCTCCCGCTCTGCCAGGGCTCTCAGGAAGTTATCTTTGAGTTCCTTTCCTGTACTTGCCAGCTTCCTGGAAAAGACAACATTTAAACAGTTTGAAATGTCTCTTAAAAATCAAGCTTAAATGTTTATGGTTGTTTTATTCTTGCAAGCAAACACTGATGCTTACTCTATTTGATGCTTATGGATCCTAGCAGTAATCTTTTCCACTAAATAAAAGTCTTGTGATTTTGTGTGTAGTTGTTTTATTTACTTTAGGAAAAGTACCTTGTAAAATCACTTTTTGGAAGCGAGATAAATCACAACAACATTTGTTCTTAAAAATATTAAAATATTTGGAAAAGAAATATCCTTCTGACTTAAATTACTATAAATTACACCAAACCCACAAGTAGACTTGTAACAATGATACAGATTATGAAAATATCCTAAATATCTGGTTCCATTAAAAATATGAAATGCGCTGGCTGAAAAATGAAAATAATCTCACGGAGTGATTTCCGACAAAATGATATCTTCATAAAAATAAATCACTCTGCCTCCACCCTAGAACTGCTGGTAATTAATCACAGTGGGAATTGCTATTGAATAATTCCACTCTTGAATTATTATCTCAGTCATTTCAGGAAGACCTTTTCTCTCTCTCTCTCTGTGCTATTTGGCCTGTTTCCATGAAAACAAAGTTCTGGCAAACTGCAGCCTGTACACCTGACATAACACTCATTGGCATTCATCTCTCAGACGTTTCACAGTGCAGTAACAGCAATAGCGCCTTGTCATTCAGCCTGAATTTGCTCAACTTTCATAATGTCTGCAGTATACCCGCAGAATCATCGGCCTGCCAGTAAACAAGTATTTGAGAACTTTTTTTCCTCTCGGGTTCGCACAGAGCAGCAGAGGGTGAAAAGGGCAGCAGAGATTACCCTCTCCTCATATCGCTGAAAGACGTAATACATGCCTCATCAAACTCGATGCATCTTCCATAAAAAAAAGAGTAAATTGGATTAACCTTTTCTCACCCTCAAGATTGTATACAGTTGAAGTCAGAATTTTCAGCCCTCATTTGAATTTCTTTTTGTTTTTAAATATTTTCCAAATATGTTTAACAGAGCAAGGAAATTTTCACAGTGTGTCTGAGAGTGTTTTTTCTTCTGGAGAAATTCCTAAGTTAAGTCTTTAAATGTCACTTTAAGCTGTATAGAAGTGTCCTAAAACATATCTAGTCAAATATCATGCGCTGTCATCATGGCAGTAATTAAATGAGTTATTAACACTATTATGTTTAGTATGTGTTAAAAATATTTTCTCCATTAAACAGAAATTGGGAAAAAAAGTGAACAGAGGGGAGTAATAATTCATGGGGGCTAATAATTCGCACATGTGAATGTATCTTTTTCACTTTTCCATAAAATAAAAGTAACTTTCGATATCTTTACAAACACATGATTCTGAATAAAATTCACTCCATCAAGGGGCAGAAATTTGCGAATGACTTGCGTATCTCAAATGGAGAAGCTGAAACATTAGCCATTTACAATAAACAGCTAAAGAGGCATCTTTTGTGTCAGTACTTGATATTTTATTACCAGCATCTTCTCCAGCGAAGTTGACCAATTTGTGATCATACAATGTCTAATGTGAAGAATCACGATGGATGATGGCTTATAAATAATTTATTTATTTCTAACCAATTAATTATTTGTAGTCTACCGTTTCAACTACCTGACCCGCACGGTCTTTGTTTTACCAATAAGCAATCAAATCATCAATACATAAAGATAAGTAATACACAGATTAGTACCTGTGTTTATTATTAATATATATATATATATATATATATATATATATATATATATATATTAGGGCTGTCAAATTATTATAAAAATGTACGTAATTAATCACACTTTTTTGTAATAAATCATGATTAATCACGAAACGGCGTATTTATTTCAGAAATAAAAGCACAGGCATTAAATGCCATTTGAATTTCAAAACAATCAATGCCAAGAACAAACAAAAATGATTTCCATGTTGGATTCTAAGTGAACTACACACACAAACACACACACACACAATGGGCGCAGTAAAGCGGACTCGGTGAGCGAGAGAGGGATCCCTTCAGATTCATCAACACGCACGATCACGTTCATCAAATTTGCTTAAAGTATGGCTGTATTTTTTCAAGCCAGGATGTTGACACAGCAAAGTGAACTTATGAAATGTGAGGGCTCATGGACGCAGCTTAAAGGCAGAGAATAGGGCTGTCTTTGACAGCTTGCGACTTCATCTGCCATTTTCACTGAGTACATTTACATGGACACCAATACTCTGCTTTTATTATTAAGATAATACGGATTAAGAGTCTACCATGTAAACAGCGATTTTTCATCACCTGAAAGGATCACGCAAATCCCGAAATGCTGAGGTTTTTCTTTCCGTTCGACATGCCGTATCAAATTCCATTAAAACATCCTGAATGAAAATATGCTGAACTAGGGATGTAACGGTATCAGAATTTCACGGTTCGGTAATACCTCGGTATGAATGTCACGGTACGGTATTTATTGAATCATTTACAGGAAAAAACAAAACTTATGAAAATACTCCAAAAAAGTGCCAAAAGTGTCAATGACATACAAATTAGCCATCTATCTGTAAGCTTTGAAACAGGAACTTCAATTTTAATAACAAAAAAATATTAAACCATGTAAAAAAATAAAGTTTCAATTTAGTATTGTTGAAAACTCATCACATTCAACATTTAATCACTCACTCACTTAGATAGAGATGGGTTTAAAGGAAAATTATCATATAAATATAATCTGGTAAAAGCTGGTATCTCTGGGTATTTACAATGTCCCCTGCAACAGAAAAACCCCTCTCATTTGGGACTGAGGTTTCTGGGACAAGAGAGATATGACTTGGCCCAGGTTGACAGCAGTAGGTAACGTTGTGCATTGTCTTTTCCCCACTTGAGAGGACAAACCATGAGTGAGATAGAGGTCTCATGTCTGCATCAATCTAAACAGTGTGCTGACAACACCGCTATTCAGTACGCGCGCGACAACACAGCTGATAAGAACTCGCGCGACAACACCGCTATTCAGTACGCGCGCGACAACACAGCTGATAAGAACTCGCGCGACAACACCGCTATTCAGTACACGCGCGGCGACAACACCCGCTTTAGAGTTTTCCAGCTCTTTTTGATGCCCGCTTCTAGCAGCACACTCCATTTCCACATTACTGGATCTGTAGCGACAACAGACCGCAAGGGATGATGGTCAAGCATGGGCTGATGGGAATTGTAGTTTTCGTTACCTCCCGTTCGCTTCATTCGCCTGAGCAAATTTTCTCAGAAGACCTATAGTTTTACCGAGTCATGCGGCTACGGTAATATCGAAAAAAATTAATATTGCGGTATGACGGTATTTACAATACCTGTAACGGAGGTTGAACTGCAGTTAAAGTCTAAAGATTAAAAAGGGAACACCCGAAATTGCATGAAACTCCGGAGGAAACGCAGAATAGCCATGTAATGCGACATTAATTGTTTTGTACTGAAACTTTACTTCTTAAAGCACATCCTTGGTCTTATCCAAATTTCTTTGCACGTTAAACATGTGCAGGGCTGGGGCAAGCTGAACTGGCGCTCTAGGCAAGCGACAATCACACCGCCCTCAACCCAAAAGTGAAAAAAAAGTGACCGGTTTGCTGATGAAAGCAAGGACCATGAGTGACAGGGTCGGTGTAGCTGATAAAAGTGAAGACCGGGGGGTTCACTTAATATTATGCTGCCGAAGGCGGCCGCCTAGGTCGCCTTTATGCACACGCCATTCCTGAACACACGTCGGCCATAACAGGAAACAAATAACGCGGTAAATATTTAAAATCAATCTCAAGCCTTTTCATTTTAAGATCCTGCTTAGAAAACCAATAGCAGAATAAAAGTTTTTTTGTACTTGGCCTTTTTTTGCTAAGCGAATACCGTCTACCAGATGGAATTAACTGAAATTTTTTTAATTTAATTTAATTTAATTTAATTTTGTTTTATTTTGGGAAAGTGTTCATCAATCAATAATAATAAATAAGCCTGAGTTACCACCTAGTGGTAATTTTCATCTGTTGCCCCCTGCTAGAAATTAAAAAATGTGTTGATCCTTAGTCAGTTTGAAAAGCACTGACTGTACCCAGCACCTCTTTCTATGGCAAGCCCAGACGCCAAAACAAATCAGACCTATTTGATATATGCAGACAGCTGTCTTTTAAAGCAAAGAAATGGTAAGTTGTACTCAGTTTTACTATTATAGACTGTGACTGAGTCTAATGTGCGTCAGTTTAACAGTACTGACTGGCAGTTGAGATTTTGTGAAACGTCAAATAAAAAATGCAGATTTCAAAGCACTTTACAGGATGTTTAACGTCATACATACAAGCTTTATTTTTCTTCAAGAACAGGAGCAGTAAAAACACAAATGATCTCATATTTATTCATAAGCAGGTGACCTGTAATGATGCCTATTTGTTATCTGTCATTGACAGCGGCTGTGAAATAAAAAAGTTACGCACCTGTATTGGCCTGAAGACATAATAATCCTTATGAGCCCCCCGTACCCCTCCTCCCCTCAGGCCATACTCCGGTTACAGGGTGGCAGGTGGGGGGGCTTTTACAAACAGGCTGGCTGCTTAGAAAGGATTTAACAGACCATGATGCACTTGGGGCCCTGCTCTGTTTATTCTGGATGATGAAAAGAAACTGGGGGGAAAAGCTCTAAGTAAATGGAACACACACATGACATTTATTTTGGTCAACTACTTGGCTGCCTGTAGTTCATAAACGTGCAGCCGGACGCCAGGCACTGCAATACTAGCACGAGAAGCCTTTGTTACAGTTTCTTGGTGAATGCAGGACCAGGGCCATAATACTGTCAGAAGTGATCTGGAGCCCATGCCAACAACTACTATAAAAAACTTGATTAAACCCAACGCTGGGTCAAATGTAGGCAAACCCAACAGCTGGGCTTAAAAATGTAATTTAAATGTTTTTTTTTTATGTCTTAATTTTAGGTT